ACCTCAAATTCTATGCATTTTTAATTCATCGTCTTCTTTGCCAAATATTGGTTTTCTTACAATATTGGGAAATAATTTAGTAGCATAAATAAAACAAGGACTTTGAATCCTACTCTCATCATTTGATAATTATGTAACCGCACAAAATTTATCTTTTTCATAGCTTCAATTTTCTCATTGCAAAATGAATACTGAACAAGCATGCAAAATATTACAGCTATCTCCATCATCGTAACAATCAAATCATCATGCTCAATACACCTCTAGTGATAAACCAGAAACCTAACACTCTTTTGTACAAATACTATTAATAGCCCTAGGTCCTTGAATAGTTCCAGTCACTTTGATGACTTAATTTGTCTCAGATTCTTGTCGTGTGTCCATCCCACTTACTACTTCCTTTTTTAATTTTTTTTTTACTTTGTAAAGAGAGTACAAATTAAAATTAAAATAAAAAATGACAAATGATACAGGATTTCACTTAACAAAGTAATATGAATTTCACAGTATTTGTTGTAATACATAGTGTTGTCTTCCAACCAGTTATTCAAATTACCAGATATATGCATGCAAAATTGGAAAAAGAAAGAAAAAAAACCAAGGAAATGTATAAGAAATTAAGAAGAGAAAAAGTACAAACAATTGAAAAAAGGTGACAAAACAAATTAAAGCATTAACTGCTTCTTTCCATAGACCAGCATAAATGCACAGTACAGTTGTCTGAACCATCCTGCTTAGATAAATCTCTTTACCCCACTGCCTCTCCTGCCCTTCTCCTCAACTCAGTGACTCTTCACCACTTCCTAGATGCACCCAACCCAATGTTTGCCATAGCCATACCAAGCAATACACTTCCCTTGAATAAGACTGTGAAACACTGCTTGCACTCTTTCCTGCCCCGGAAACTTCCTCTTTTCCTTCACCTCCAGCTTACCAAGTGCCTCATCTTTCATGATTCAATTCCAAGTTCGTCCTCTCAGTGTAGTCTTCTGCCATTTTCCCTTCAGCACCAGGAGCACCCTGTCAGTCATCCCACAGCAACTCATACCTCAGTGGAGCCTTATCACCCTACTGTTTATTTATTTATGTGTTTGCTTTGTCTCCCTCATTAGATTGTGAGTTCTCTGAGTAGACAGCCTCTTCCTGTCATCTGTCTCCAGGCCATTGCAATGTAGAGATTTCATAAATGAATGCGTGGTCAGAATAATTCAGTGACAGTTTTAGTAGGAAAAGGGAAGGAAGGTTGGTTGACCATGAGCTTGTGACTTGGGTTTTATTTCTCTTCTACTTATTTCAGGCCTTCTCTTGAGTACAGTTATCTTTCTCTTTCTATTTGTTCTTGCTTAACAGAGGCACATGACCAATACTGTGTAAATTATATAACACATTTGAGAAAACCATGCCCTCACAAACTACAGCTAAGCAACATGACAAAATTATCCTGATGCTGAATTATATTAGTGGAGACAAGCCAAAAAAAGGCAAATGTCTTGAGACCATTGATCCAGAGAGTAAAACAAGATAAAATCTCTCTCCTAACAAGCACTTATTATTGACTACTAAACTCAAATTTTATATTTATTGTCTCATGTATTCTTTCTCAATGACCCTATAACATAGGTAGTGACCATGCTGATAAATATTTAATAACTGGATTTCTGGTTTTTGAAAAAGATTCTTGATTTGTAGCAATTGCCAAGTTCTATCTGGTAAATGTTACTAGCATGGCTGATCCTAGGTTGTCAATGCTGATTCACAGAATGCAGAATTGGGAAAGGACATATACACAGAGACAGTAGGACAGGAAAAACCTCATCAATATAAATCAGGGATCAACAGACACAATATATTTTATTTTATTTTTTAGGTATTTTGTTGTTGCAGGGTCTCAATACACAGCTCAGACTTGTGGTTATCCTGCTTTCAGCCTCCCCAGCACTGGGATTATAGGCATGCACCACCATGCTCAGACTCTGGCCAGCTCAGCCCACCCTAGGGCAGGACTGGTGCAGCATGTGGTGCTGGGGATCAAACTACAGTCCCTACACTTTGCCCAAGTTTGCCTAAGCAGGCGCTTTAGTCTGCTGAGCTATCTCACTGGCCCCCAGCAGAAATATTTTATAAAGGACCAGACAGTAAATATTTTAGGTGTTGTGGGCTATAAGTGCTCTGTTTCTAATATTCAACTCTGGTACTATAGTACTGAAGTAGCCATAGATATTATCTAACAGAAGAGTTACTGTGTTTCAATAAAATTCTAATCATAGACACTGAAATTTAACACAAGTTTCATGTGTCATGAAATAATCTCTTGACTTTCTTCTTAACCATTTAAGGTGTAAAACCACTCTGAGCTTGTGAGTCATGTAAAAATAAACAGTGGGGCAGCCTTGGCATATGGGAATAGTTTTCCATCCCTGAGCATAGATAATAGTATGAGATAGTAGGGAAAAATTAGGAAGTGATGAATTTTAAGCATCTAGCATTTTTACTCTAATGTACTCTATTTATTGTAAGATTATATAGTTTAATTTTGTTTGCGGTTCTGGGGGTCACTTGCATCAAAAGCTCCTTGCATGGTGAACATACTCTCAAAACCAAGCGATAGCCTACCCCCATAGTTCAAACAATAACTGTGCTCGGCAACTGGCTTGCAAGTTTCCTGAAAATTTGACAGTTAACTCTTAGGAAATTAGGTATTATCTCTATTTTACAGCTGAGAAAACTGCTATAATGAGGTTGTTTTACTTATATGAAAAGAAAGAGAAGTTATCAAGACTTAATGCATATCTGCCTGATTCCAAAAACTAACCCCCTTAATCACTCTCTGAGAGCTGGAGTTGGGCTTTTTGTACTGGAGATTGAACTCAGAAAGCTAGAGCCTTTGAGAGCTGAATTTCAGGAGGCTGCCAGGTTGCCAGATAACTTTTTAATGATATGAAAACATGTACAGTGGACAAAAATGCTCCCTGCAAATTCACTCTACTGCCTCAAGCAGGGATGTTCACCAGTGAGTGAAATGTGACCAAATGGGAGATTGCATGTTACAGTGTCAGAAAAGTTTTGACACCTTAAGTGGTCTTTGTTGGGAAATTTAGAGTCAGTAAAAAAATTGATGGTTAGAAATGGCCTCTGGATTTTATTTTTTGGTTATCTCAATATCTGGGCCACGGCCTAAATTTGTTCTTCATGTCCTCCACCAGACAAAATGGTTTTAACTACTTCAAACCTTGTGTCTCCCCACCTTCATTCTTATCCCTGAAAATGAAAAGGATTAAAGCATGGTGAATGATTACAGTAATTTTGTGTTCAAGTGTTACCTCTGCCATCTTGCTAGACACATCCAGCACTAAACAGACCACTTTGTCACCAGCCTGGACAACAGAGAATGTGGGAGGAGGTGGAAGTTCTGTCCCGTTCATGGGAAAACTGTGACTGAAGTCCGAGGAGTCCACGAGGATGTCCCATGCACTCCTCAGGCTGCACATTTGGTTCTGTAGGTTTGGAGCTTCTTGGTTGTGGGTACTTGCGTTACAGAATTCAACTACCTGCAAAAAGAGTAGAGTCCACCAGAGAGCAACAGAACTTTTTCCAGAGCAGACACATTTTTCATTGTCTAGAGGTCAAAGAAAGCAGGTGAGCTGAAATTAAAAAATGATACATTCATATACTTCTTGCATTCCAGAAGGATACTAGGCTTACAGATGAACCCTGGCATCCTTTGCTTGAAACACTAGCACTCTTGTGCTACTAAGGGCAAATTCTATTTAAGTTTATTTGTACTGGGATAACAGAGAGAAGACTATGTATATTTATCTTGGTCTTAAAACAATAAAACAACCTCCCTACTTTCTTAGTGTGCTATTGTATTAAGGAAAATCCCAAGAGATGTTATCTTGGTCAGCCTATTCTTTGGGATCATATTAAGTGACTCTGGCCCCTTCATGTATGCATGTTTATTTAACAACCTACTTCAAATATTGATCCTGTACGAGTGGGATAAGAGAAAAAGTAACTTAAATCTACTTCCTGAAATGTTTCATTTAGAAATATATCATATAATTCATTTAATAATTATGAACCACTCCACATCGCTAGCCATTCGTGAAATGCAAATTAAAACTACATTGAGATATCATCTCACCCCTGAAAGAATGGCTATCATAAAGAAATCACCCAACAACAAATGTTGGAGAGGCTGTGGGGAAAAAGGAACCCTTCTCC